TGCCTGGTGAGTCTGAGGTGCTTGCACAATTGTTGTCTCCTTCTTTGTCATCCTCTTCTTTCTCTTGGCTTCTGTCCTTCTGCAGCTCTTGATCTTGCCCCAAACCAGATGCGGGTGTGTTGTGTGCAGGGCTGCTCTTGTAATAGTGACAGAGGCTAGAGGCTTGTGGTTCAGATTGATCCAAAAAGCAAGCCTCCGCCATGGCTCCCCTCCTCCAGTGCCAAATGTTCTGCTGAAGTCACCCGCAGGGTGCGTCTGAGAGGCGTGCCATCAGGAGCAAGCAAGTACTCTCTTGCTCTACATTGCCTATCTCGACGGCACACGGGGTTCGTGTCTCTCCGCGAAGGCAAGAGGCGACCAAAGAGAAGCTGCGTCGTCAGCGTCTATCACATTGCCGCAAAACTGGCCTGCTTTGGAGAGCCACATACTTCCACTTAGTCAAGCTAAAGCTTGAGTATGTCAACCTCATCAATCCAAACTTGCTTGCTGATGCTTACATGTTGGACACCAACATCGCCCGCAATGGGTCAACTTTGCTGTCCGAAGGCAAAAAGAATGTGTAGGAGTAAGCCCGATTTACATTCACTAAGACTTTTGAGGAGATTGCTGTTAGCCAGGGGGCATGGTCTCTCACTTTTGTCTTCATTGCTCTGGACCTCTATGGCGCTGCAAGATTTGGCAGCAGCAATTGCAGGGTCAAGTTCAAAAGCATCATTTGGCACGAAAAATTCTCTCGAAGGCACCTTTGGATCTCTTTACTGGGCGGAACCACTTGCACACCTGCGCCCTCTGCTTTCCTGAGGATCCGTCTCAGTGCTCACCTCATGTTGCAATCCGGAAAGACAACTTTGACTGGTTGTCAAAGGTTGTCGTGTTGGAGGATTCTGTTCAGGTCACCTTCGTGCGGTGAGACACCACGAACACCACTGCACGGCGAGACACCACCAACACTACTGGGTGAGAAATTACTTTCACTGCTGTACGGTAAGGAAGTTTCAGCTCACTCATTGCCTGGTCTGCAGGATGGCTGTCTAGCGTTGGTCCATCTGCAAGGATCAGCCTCGCGCTCAAAGGCAGGACAAGTGAAGATATTCACAAGTCGTCTCAGCATTCTGGCGAAGAAGAGTCTGCAAAGAGTATGAGCGTATTTGTGCATCTCTGTCTGAGACACTGGAGAAGGGGCCAGCCGAATGGAAGCTGAAGAAACGCAGTTGCCACACATGGCAAGGCAGTAATCGCACAATACGGATGCTGATCGTTTTTGTTGCTCCCGAACGGTCTTTAACAGAGACCATGGGAATGTTGATGAAGCTCGCGCTGCATGGCTGCAGACGCTAAGGCCCACAGGTAGCAATGGGGTTAGCTTTACAGCTGCGATCTGGCGGAATCACTGGGGAGTGTTTAAAAGATTTGCTACTTTGTACACCGGTTTGGGAGCGGTAGCCTCGCTGGCGTACCGAAAATCTGCGAAAGACTTCTACCTTCGCAGTTGCAGATGTGTCTTGCACTTGTGTGACCTTGCCAACCTCAGAATGTGAGATGAACAACCAGCTTTTGATACAAGCACAAAAAAAGGGAGCATCGGATTGCGATAGCTATCGTTCAGCGAGACACGCGAGCAGGAAACTCGGCTGGGCTCTGCTTCGAGAAGCAAGATATCGTGTTGAACAGAATTACCACTCCGAGGCGCGCTGATTTTACGCGTTCGCTGCACGGGGCGATGAGTCCGCAAAAAAGGTGCCTAAAGGTTGGGTTTGAAGAAGCGATTGAGCTTGAGAAAAGTCAAGATTTTTTGAAACTTCCATTCGCAACGACGCATCGAGTTTGCGAAATCTGCTGTGGTTATCGGATAAATACCGATCGTACTTTTGAATTCTCCGATAAATAGAGAGGACTTTTTGACGGCGAAGCGTATTTTTCTGATTGCTCTTCATGGCGTTGCCCTTCCCATGTGGTCGAAACTGTCTTATGCACCTTCTGCTGTTTGACGCGCGAACCTGCAGAGTGACAA